GTGATGCCCCTGCTGATTCTGCTCCTCTAGCTCTTTGTCCTGCAGCACTCAGTGTGTCTGCCTCCTCTGGAGACTGGCAGGCTTCTCTAGTGTGGCTCCACAAAGGCCCAGCCTCCTTTGAGGTGTTAAAAACTTCCATTTATGCATCTCCCTGGACAAAAAAGCACCAAGCCCATTTGAGTCCAGTAGCAACACAGGCAGACATTGTGGCCACGCTTCTCTAGCACTCATTTCACAGATTCTAAAACCAGTATGTGGTGAACAGGATTTGAGGGGCTAAAGTGCCCCGTGAGGGCCAGGCGATAAGAGGGGAGAAACGCCAACACGCAGTAAACTAGAAGATGGGTCCAGGAAAATAAACACATTACCTGGGAGAGAGGGAGAGACTTGTTTTCATACCCCTGCCCCCAACATACACAAATACACAAACCCCACACTGAGCAAGAAAGAAACAGAGAAAGAAAAAAAGGAAAAGAAAATATGTTTGTATATCTTGGAAGTTAAGAAAAGAGGTCTCATCAGTGTGCAAAAAGACAAGCCTATTCTGTGTTCTCTGTCTTTACAGTCTTTGGAGTGAAGAATATGTGAGAGAGAATCAAAGAGAATTGATAGGTTGCACGCCCGCCTGTTAGGAGCACTGGGGACTGAATGCCGTCCACCGTGGAGGAAAACATTCTATTTGCTGGCCGTTTCTCTCCCTTCACCCTGCCTCAACCCAGTTGCTCAGTAAATAGACTTTTATTCTTGTTATTTGACGCAGAGGAAATGACACATAATGCATTTGCCGAGCAGCACACGAAAGCCTTGTTCAGCTGCAGCACTGAATCTGTATCAGGCTGGGTAGAATGGCTGCTGTTCAAGGGGGGATGTTTTTTTTCTGCTTTATCTGACACTATTGCTCTTCAGCCTTGCCAAAATACAGGTCACTGTTTTACTCTGAACAAAGATATTTTCACTGGAGTGACGCTCTGGTAGTCACTCCTGACACGTTGGTGCGAGACATTTAGTGAGTCTGTTGTAGTTCAGTGTCAGGACAGGATCAGCAAGAGGCAGAAAAAAGGGCAGTTTAAGAGAGACAGAGGGTAAAAGATAAAAAGAGGAGAAAAGAGAGATTTGGAAGGCTGTGACAGTCAACGATGTGCTGGAGCATGAAACAGCTGTTTGCACGTGATTGACCTGTTTCCAACACCAAATAACTCAATGATACGGTGAATCTCTTGTAGAAATACAGCTTGTCAGTCTAACAGCACAGCACTGGACTTGTTATTTTTTGTCCAAAGTTTATCTCACCAGTAGGAAGTGAATACATTTATGAGCTGACAATGACAACAAATGACAAGAAAATAATACCTCCTTAAAATGATCTATAAAATTATAAGTGTCCACAGTCCACCTCAACACTAGCTGTTTTGCTGACCAGCAATGTCCTCTCATTCCCGGCTAAGGTGATTACTCACTGCATGGAAGCTGTCGTTTCATATTTCACAGATGATGCTACTGCAGAGAAGATTGACTTTATGGAACTGGATATTTAACAGACAATCACATGTGTTCAATTACTATATCAGACATTTCTGTACCAGAATGTTCTGCACTTCACACCTTCGCCCTCCATACTGCACCCCCATCCCCCCTCTTCTTCCTCCCATTTCCCTATTTCCCCTGGGACCACTGTTATAGCCCCACCTTATTGCATCCCAAACTCCCCCATGCAGTCCCCGGCTTGACTGACTGTGTGGCTGCTGCTTCTGCAGAGATAACCACACAGCATCCAGGTAGGGAGAAGCCTGCTGATGGCATAGATTACTTCTATTGTCAAAATAACTAACTCTGCAGAATTCCTACTTTAGCGTGTTTGGACGCAGGAGAGAGTGAGGATTTGGAACGGAGGATTGGGAGTATTTTTTTTTAACATGTTGCAGATCTGGATGAATTCCAAACAGAAGTTGAAGTACAAGTTTTGGCTTGCCTCATGCATATCCACACAAAACTGCACAAGGTGAAATGTACGTTCATGTACACAGCAAACGCATAAACATATATACATGCAATTTAAACGTGTCTCACATTCAGTGTGTTTAGTTTTAATGCAATACAGAGTTGAACATGAAACATAAAACCTGAATTTGGTCAGGACAGCTATGTAGTGGTTGGCCTCCCCTTTGCTGTGTACAGTTGTGGTGATGTTTTCTATTGATACTGAGCCACTGTCACATGATGGTTGAAAAACACAACTCTCTGTTATGGTCAGGGGAAATTAAATCAAGCGTAGCCCACACCGTACATGAACACATGTCTGGAATTTGAAGGTTCAGTTCATTTGAAAGTGAATATTTCTGAGCTGTGATAGTAAAAACGGCTTACCTTCACATACTGAGGCTTTTGCTCAAATGGCAACTCCAGCAGGCTTTACAGTGTGTTTGATGTGTAATATGTGTAAGATGCACAAGCAGTTTTTACGTGGGAGGAGATTGTACCCACTGTCTCATTGCAGAAATGTGGAATTTGAATCTAGTGTCGTGCCCAGGCAGATTTTATACGGGTGTGTGTAAGTGTGTGTCTGAACAATAAACAAATTTGGGACGAATTCTAGATTTTCAAACCAGTGAGATCTGAGACAGCTTATCCAGTTGGTGTTAACAATTTTGTTTCATCAAGCACAAGCCAACTTGTTTCTGTCTTCACTGAGTTACCGAGTACTGAAAGGCTTGTGTATGTTTGTGTGCGTTGTATGTGTGTATATTCCCTGACAAATTTCAGTACTGGAAATTATGCTATAATTTTCAACTCTGCTTCACTGCATTTGAAGGCTTTTGTGGCAACTTGAGTGTGTGCATGTGTGCATTTTCATGTATTTCCTTCGTATGTGTGTGTTTGTGTGTGTGTGTGTGTGTGTGTGTGTGTGTATGTGTGTGTGTCTATGTGTGTGTGTGTGTGTGAGGTAGATACAACCAGCCACAGCTAGAGAAAAGGCCACTCTTTGACAGAAATGCCACAGGTAGCTGTGAGCTCTCTGTCCCTGCTCCTTTGAAGTCAGTTCCATCAGTCTGTTTGGATTTTTTGTATCTAAGAGCTAAACCTCTAGTATTTTCAGTGATGTGAAATGACACGAATGAAACAGAAAAATAGTCTTTGTGCCTCACTCTGACTGTTCACTTATGGCAGCATCTCTTCTTCTCACCCTTACAGATTCTCTCTCTAACTAAAAATAATTAACAGTATAATGGTTAAGTGTGCTGACAATTTGTTTATAAAAATGTAGTGAAACTAATAATTTGGGATTGACTTGAATTGGGTTTAATAAGTCCCTGATCCTCTAATTAGGTAAGGGGAGTGCTTGTTTTATGTTTCCTGCCTGTAGGTCTAATTCACAGCAGGAAAAAAAGCTTCTACATGCAGCTACAATAGGCCGGTTGACACTGACTCTTATTACACCTCAGGGATTACAACATTTGCTTCATTATAATATCATTTGGGTTTGCTCATTATTTGCAATTATAAATTCTTTTGTTTTTTTTCCCTCAGACAAATAATTAACTTAAATAACTAGTGAATGAGAAATACATTTCCTCATTTATTATTTACCTCATTGTTCTCAATTAACATCAGATTATGAATTCAAAGGTTTGTTAATGTCTAATCTCTGTAATTATAAGAGCTCTCATTTATTTCGGTACAATAGGAATAAAGCCTATAGTCAGATGTTTGACAAAGACTGATTTATTGAATTACCACCCGTGTTGTTGTGCAGGCCGAATAGTTACTTATATAAGTCAATTGTGTGTGTATGTGTGTGAATACAGGTGTGGGTGGTTGCGGCTGGAGCATAGTTCAGAACAGTGAAATAGTGTGTGTTTAGCGTTATTTGAGAGGCAGGAGTAGACTTTAAACTCAGAGGTGCTATTCATGTAACAGCTTTCCATTCAGCTGGGGTCACCTGGGTCCCCTCTCCCCTATTGTCACCTCCAGCCTCAAGGCTACCACATTCAGACCCGTCTGCAACTCTTGCCATTATCTGGCTCATTCTGTTAGCCCTCCAGCCTCCCACATAGCAGACTTTGCACTGTGCTTCGACAACAATACAGTGGTAGCCAGTACATTTATCTGGTCTTGTTGTTGGTGGCTTACTGGCCCCGGCGATGGGAGACTGAGGTGCTATAGTGCAAATTAGTGACAGATCACTTAAGCGTGACCTTAAAAAACCCTTGGCCTTGTTTAATTGGCAGTGCTGAAGCGGACTAATTGTATAAATCATCTGGTAATGAGATCTTGGCTTATTGTGAAACACTAGATAATGTGAGAAAATGAACATGAATGAGCTTATGGCATTTTCATCCCTCAAGCTAGATGTCTGATGTCTGAATTGTTCTCTTTTTGTTGTTACCTCTGATCTGGCGGTGGAATTTGGTTTTGATGATGCCTAAAACTGTATGCATTGTACCGTACTGGAGTTTCCTCTGTATTTTCTCTAACAAAGCTCTTAAGTTGACTCAACAAGACATGCTGAAACTAGCAGAGCATGCCCCCTAAATAAATCATTAGCAGGCAGTGCTTGAAGAAAGAAAGCAAAATTAAATAAAACAACCACTTTATATGAGAGCTGTTTATTAGTAGAATCCGTCGGCTGGAAGACAGATTAATGAGGTAGCAGAGAAGTAGGTTTTAAACATTGTCTAGGATGAATTCACATTGGTGACAGGCAGCTGTGAGGACTGGAGGTCAGACACTAACAAAGCTGTCTTACAGTAGCTCAGCTGTGGAGACTCTGACCCTCAGCCAACAGTCACTGTGGCCCCAATTCTCTTCCTCTAGTTCTGTCTCTATTTGTTCCGATGTAAGTAAATACAGTTATCTATGAGCCTTGTTGGTTTTAACCACGTTCCAAATTCACTGGTGTTTTTTAATCAAACAAATGGCATTTAAACTCATGAATAACACTATTTAAATGTTTAAAGGACACAATAAAACAGCCTTTTTTCTTCTTTATTCTTATGTTTTAGGTTTTTACATGAATTCAAAATCAACCGACCAGTGATCGCTGGAAGCTGGGGATTGAGTCTTTCAGTTTTTGTAAGTATCAATTTGTCTCTTCAGCTTTTTCTGTCTTGCCACATGTCTCATACACCCCTGCTGTCTTTCACCCACACTGAACACCTGCATCAAATGAGGTGGACAATTGGATAGGCACACAATGTATGCACAATTAGACACTTATATAGCCACAAAGTTACTGACAGACCTTTTAAACATTAGATCATCCAACTTATTTTTCTTGCATTTTGTTTTGCTTCAGCATTGTGTTGTGATTACTCTGGATTCATATTTTCCTTTCTCCATTTTTCACATTCTATTTCTCCGTGTGTGATATAACCCTGTCGCTTATGTGGGAGTTGTAAATCTAAGGGCAAATCAGGCTTTTATGTCTTCATTAATTATAAGTATCTTAATGATTATTTAAAGCCAAACAGAAAAAAACCCTTTTTCTACACTGGATAAAAAACACATCAACCTTTTGCAGGTGGCACTGGTCAAAAATGTAATGTAATAGAAACCTTGAATGTCATTTATTTAAAAAAGTCTTGAAATCCATTGAATCCATATTTGCAATAAACTGAAACTTCATTTGGTCTCATTAGGAAATGTGCAAAAACATGGTTAAGTATCTTTGAGATTTAAAAGAGCAGAAGGGGTATAAGTGAACATTTTCCGAAGCAATACAGTAAGACAGTTGCTATCAAATGCAGGATTTTGCTTAAAAAAACAGAATAGAGAATACTGTACTACAGTCCTCTCTGCGTCAATACAAATGTTACTTGAACAATCTTTGCTCAGCTGCTGCTCGTGCAGGTTTTCTAATAAAAATGTATCATATTAAGCAAATAAAGGTGAGGAACTTAGTTGATATTATTCTTTTCTTCCAAATGTCAGTTGAAGATATCACGGGAGTCATATTAATGTGCTTGAGAAGCTCTTCAATAACAGCTGGGAAATGTCTCTCTGAATTCAAAGTTCATGGCCATTTACCATTGTTTAATCACACCACTTCACGTCACACACACTTCTGCTCAGATGAACATGCACCTGCCTACCAGCAAGCTCTCTCTGCTTCTGCATGTTAGTTTTGTAGATTTTTCTTTAAGCGGCTTGAACTCGTAAAATGGTCGTACTATAACAGTCAGTCATGTAGAGTGTGACCTGACTTATCAACATAAACAGAGCATCTTATTAATCAGACAAACACACAATAGAAGACACATTTTTGACAGATGTAATAAAAAAAAATGATTGTGGCGACATAAAACACCTAAATGCACCACATTGAGTTTTTGTTTAGGTCATGTATAAAATTAATATAAAAAAAAATACAATCAACAGAATCAATTACTGGTGTGAGCAGGTCTTATATATATCTAATCATTTACTTCTTCAGCTTGCTGCAGCATCTCTTTTGAAACCTTCTGGACAATTTGAGATACCAGATGTTACATTTTACAATAATATAACATAAGGTAGCTAGCTTCACTAATAGACAGTTTAATAAAAAATGCAAAAATAAAGAGATATCAGCAGAAGCTCTGTGATCGGCCCATCAACATGGAAGGTTGGCTTCAGGTAAAAGATTTTCACGCATTTCGCTGCCACAAAACTTTCGCCTTCGCGCTCAGAAGGGTGAAGCGAAGGAGTTGCAATCTACAACTACACCGCTAGATGCCACTAAATCCTACACACTGGTCCTTTAACAGAATATGAATAATGTACTTGTACTCGCCAGTGGTCGCCAGTTGTGCTTACTGCCCCCTACTGGTCCAGCTAAAAATCCTCCTCCTCAGGTAGTTAATAAATTGACCCCTGAAGTTCTGATAATACAGACTCAATACTAAAGTGTCAGTGGTTATGTAATTAAGTCAATGTAATGTTATTAGGGACCTGTGAGTAGTTGATTTGACCTACAGGTTTAATCAATCTTATTTATTTTAGTTTAGTTAGTAATTTAGTTTGTGTCTGGAGTGCTTATAGAGCATTTTTAATTACTCTGATGCAATCTCATTTGAAAACACCTGAGGATGTGTTAGACCATCAGAACAGGCCATATACACTCTTTGTTAGTATGTGCCATTTATCTAATAAGGAACAGCCGCACGGTCTCAGAGCTCTCAGCTCACTACCAATGGCACCACTCAGGGGGAGGATGCGGCTGAGTAATTTTGTCAGAAATTAAATAAACAGCACTTCACCATAAAATGAAAATGAATAACCTTTGAATGGTTATTCTTCATCTATTATTTATCAAATGGGCCTCTACAGACCACTGACCCTGCAGTGATTATGGTCAACATGTTGCTAAACAGAGACCGCTTGACAAAGACCACCTAACAAAGATGTTAATTTCATCAGCCTCAATTACATCAAAGGATCCCAGTGCGAATTTGGAAAACTAATTGTTGCACATGCCATTACCTGTCAAGAATGTGGAAAGCCTGCCTGAACTTTATCCATCTTTTCTAAACTCTGCATTCAGTTAATAGCGTGCTCTCTGTATTACTCATGAATGACCTCATTTTGAAGTGCTTAAATTAAAATATGCATGTTGGCAATTCGATTAGGTGGGGTGTTGTCTGGGCTCTCTTTACAGTTGGTGATTAAGTATGGTCCATATTTAATCACATGAAAAGGACCCTTATTATTATTATTATTATTATTATTATTATTATTATTATTATTATTATTATTATTATTATTTGAAGGTTTGATGGACTTTATTTCATTCTCAGAATAATAAAAACCTAATAAGGACTTGGCTGCTGTCCTGCTTCTCAAGGTATGTTCCCTTGTACTGTAGGACAGAGTTTCACCTAGTAGCTATACACGGCAGAAAACAGGACCAAAGAACATGCCATTAATCTTCTTGCTACCCCAGCTGTGGAAAGTAATGCATAACTAAAAGTCCGGTAAAATGAATTAATGATTTCAACCATGAACTTTTCTCCCAAAACGCCATGAATCGTCTCCAACTGATAATGCACCACGACCCTGGAGTGTGAAATCCCTGTTGCGTTGAGAGTAGCCAGTTAATTGATTCGCAAATTATTTAAAGTTTGTGGTGCCCAGGGGAGTGCTAGACTCTAATGACGGCTCGTTTTGAAAGAGTTGAAAAACTCTTCCCCGGCAAGTCAGTATTAAATTGTAACAGTAAGCTAACAAGTCTGATCCCCAAGAAGAGAGATTGTGTCCAGTATTGTGTTGTTAGATTGGGTCAGCTGAATATGCTTTTTAAATTGGGATGTATCTCATCCTAAATAGACAATCTAATTTGATTGCCCATGTTCTTTCTTAAATGGTACTTCTATCCTCTTTGGGAAAGCATACAATATGGTAATCTGTATTGAATACAGATAATTTTTTTTATATAGAGTCAGTTTGCAAATGACATTATTTCTAAACTTTGCGTTTGTGTCCTTTGTCCATATGACACTCATTGTAGCAAATTCAGCCATCAAATTCTGTTGACTGCAAAATGAATGGGGTTTGATTGACTTGGACAGGGTGAAATGTTGTTACTCTGTAACCTTACAACTCTAAAATAGGCTGATGAGTATTACACTCCGTATGCGGTCTGTGGCATGTGTGATATTTAAAAGCGGAATATATAAGTCAGGAATCAGTGGACAGTAAAATAAATACATTTACAATGTTTTAAAACCTAGAGCAAGCAATAGCCAGCCGTTCTGTACAGAATAGGCTTACCTAGTAGCATACGCACTGTACGTTCCACTGCTTTTTAGCTGAAATTGTTTGATCTCTGTGTTAATATCAAGGAGCCTCTAATCTCGACCCATTAGCCACTGCTGTCATTCAGACACACGGTGTCGGCCTGATTTAAATAAAATGAAATGAAGATAGTTGTTTCTGGTCCCTTGGCTTCACTCATTGCCATAAACATATGCTCTGTGCCCCGCTTCTTTCCATCTTATTTATGACTTTAATTTGTTGTGTGGGCTGCGCAAGAAATCAAATTTAATCCAATCCTCCCAGGGACCCTGTCATATAATAACATGGTAATTTCTGTGTATCCTTTTGAAAAATGAGGAAATTAATTCTTCCTGACATGTTCTAATTATTCCAGTGTGAACGGCGGATGGGCTCCCCTCCTTCCTCCCATCCCCCCAGCCCCCTAAGTGTCAGTTGCCGACGGGTGGCGAGGTGCTAATGCTGACCAGCAGCGCGTTTAATTTGAAACATGAGCAGACACCTTTCAACACACCTTCTTAATGTTGGAGTGGCTCACACAAATTAATTCACTACTCATCTGGCAGCTCTGACTGAGAGGTGTGTGTGTGTGTGTGTGTGTGTGTGTGTGTGTGTGTGTGTGTGTGTGTGTGTGTGTGTGTGTGTGTGTGTGTGCGTGCAAGCATATGTGTATGTGTGCAGGTTAGGGGGAGGGGGTCAATAGGACCCTGTTGCCATTTGTAAAGGTAATGTAAGGTGTGTCTGTGTGTGTACTACAGGTGTAAATGCATATATGTCAGTGTGTGTGGATACGTGCTGGACCAGGTATCACCATATTTCATGTGACTGGGTGTTGAGTTGGCGTAAAGCTGTCTGCTGGGATGTTGGGATTGCTTGGACAGCTTTTTTTCTCTCTCTGGATCTCCCTTCTCTCGAACCAACAGTACCTTTTCACACATCCCACTGCTCCACTGAGAGCACTGAAAGGCTTATTTAATTAGACTGTCATCAGGCAGTCTTTAGCTTATCACTTCAATTTGCATAGGGACGCTACTGGCAGAAATGTTGTGGAGCAATGATCTTATGTTTCATGTTCAATGGTTACAAGCATAAAATAAATGGTTTTTTTAGATAAATCCGTAGCAGATCCTTTAAAATAAAAATAATAGTCCCTCCAATAACTTAAAACTGAGCGTGCTATTGACTTTCAATCCCTAAAAAAAGTCATAATTATCTGTTCACTGAAAAAGAAAAATCTGATATAAAGAATGTTATAAAGAGTTTGGTCTAGACCTGCTCTATTTGAAAAGTGTCCTGAGATAACTTGTTATGAATTGGCGCTATACAAATAAAATTTAATTGAAGTGAATTGAATTGATATGATGGTCTGTACAGACTGAAATATTGTTATCATGGAGAACAAAATTGGTTAATAATTAACAAGGTTAAAATAAAACAAACTATATGCTGACTTTTTCCAAGGCTTTGTCTCTGTAAGTCCACAGCTCTGTATATATTCAGGCTTCTGGGAGAAGAAATGTGTTTCTACTCTAATTATGTACAGTATCTGAAGCAGCTGACACAGGAGGAGAAAAAATAAACAAACAAAATTTACTGAACTTTGGAGACGGGTTCAAACCATAGAACTGTAATTGATTTGGTGTGTGTGTGTGTGTGTGTGTTGTCTCTGGGTCGTAGAACAGAGGGCTCATAGCTGTGGCGTCATGGTCGAGGAGAAGAGAGCATGGCTTTGTGAACGGTGGGTGGGTCCCCCCATGACTCAGAGAGGGGAGAGGCGTCAACATGGCCGCCCGGCCCACAGGGATTAAAGTGCCCCCCTCCCCACACCCTGCAGGGTTAATCACTGCCATTTTGGATCCATGCAGAGGGAGCAAATGCACTCTCCATCACTGTGGAAGAACTGAGACATAAGCCACCACTTAGGCTGCCACTGCAGCAGCTCTGTGGGTAGATCTGCTTCATAAGCTTGTTTCCACTCTGTACAATAGAGTGTTCTGAGCCCTGGTTTACTTGTCTCAAGAAGGTTGGAGTTCCTGGATCAGTGCAGACTCTTTGGATATTCCATTTTTCTCATATGGGTTTGGTTAAGGGATATACCAAGTAACCTGGGATGTAGTTACTGGTAAGATCTGTGTAGCTAACTTCTGTGTCTCGCTGTGCGCCGCCTCTACGTGAGCCTGTTAATGACTGAAGGCTGAGAGTGCCGTCTCGTGCCAAGACCCACATGGCTGCTGGCGGTGCATTAAATCAGCAGTCAATTTGACTGGAAGTTTGAAATCTGGGCTAGGTTAAGGGGATGTGCTGAAGCCGTGTTAATAGCTAGCTTGTTGTCCATATGGTACTGCTTTAATAGAGCACATTTGTTGCAGATGGTGGGAGACTTGGTTAGGCAGAGGCAGCTTTTGGCAGAGGCTCATTCTTCGAAAGGGCTGCCGTGCTGCTCGGACTGGTCCAGGCCAACTTAGTGATGTCTATCCTCCCTGCTTCTCCTTCACAGAAAAGCCTGACCTTGAATTGTGGCCTAGCGTTAATTTAAAGACATTCTTGTTTTTTTGTGTTTGGAGAAGAGCAAATACAATGTGGCTCAGTCACTTTTTCCTGAGTTTGGTCATTTGCGCTCCAAACCGCACCTTTGCTTCCATAGGCTAAGTTCAGTTGTTTCTGACCACAATGGGACTGTAGACAGCAGGCACAGCTGAGGAAACACAAGCACACAGAGAGTGAAAGAACAAGGGTTATGGAATAAGACCGAAGATAAAGATAGAAACTGAGCATAGCCTAATCTATTTCATTTTCTCTCTGGCTATGTAACTGTTTTAGCAAGCCTGCTAAAGGATTCAAGCGCCAGTAAAAAAAATAAACACACATTCAGATAATAAAAGAGTGTGCTGTGTTAAATGTGTACCAGAATTAGTTGAGTTTCTGCATCAAAGTCGCTACTGTTTCTATTCCTCTTCCTAATTTCTGAACTATGGTTTGCAGTATGTAAATGTGAACTAGAACTTGTTTGCATGTAATGTAAATTCAGTCATATTCACATTTGTGTTGGTAATTGTTTTAGTTTGTGTGTGCCCGATTCAGAGTATGTGTGCTTTTTGCACTCAGAGAAGTGAGGAGACACGCTTGATCGGCTTTGCACTGTTTGACGGTTGTTTTCTCACGTTGTCACTGGCTTGGTGTGCTGTGCCGTGGTGATGGTATTATGTGCTCTGGGCCCAGCTGAGTGGAGAAAAGAGCAGAGCTGCAGCGCCCCTAGCTATGCCACTCCCGCCTCCCCAGACACCTTATTGTGAGAAAAGTCTCGGCTGAGCCCTCTGGGCCTTGTGGATCCACTGCCTTGCTAAGTGCTGGCCAGACTGAAAGGCACAGTGTCCTTGGACCCAGCTCATTCTTTCCATTCTCTCAGAGGCTTTGTCTCATAAGCAACTAGGGCAAGGGGAGAAAATGCCAAATTACACCCATGTCACTAAAACTTAAGGTGTTTAAGGGTGGAGATGTCATTTGCTGTTGTGTTTTGTGTAACTCATGATGATGCGCATGAGGGAGTGTCATAACCGAAGTTCTGAAAAGAGTTTTTTTTTTTTTCTTTTCTTTCCACTGGTGTTAAAAAGTTGTGATTTTCATTGAAAGCAACTTGATCTGCAGACTTAAGAGCTAAAGTTATGAAATTGAATAAAATGATGGTGGTGGAGTGATGAAATGTTGAAGTGAAATGACTTAATATAATAATGCAGAAAATGTTTTGCAAGAGATCCATGCCATATTTCAGTGGCTGAGTATCTTTATGAGGATAGTTGTGAGATCTGAGAGACATTTAAATTTCAACCACTGACAAAAATCCCACTCACAAATCTGTTCTCTGGTATCACCACATAAAACAAAGCACGTGGAAGCCTTAATCAATTTCCAACCAATCTTAACACAATAAAAGTGTATATTATACAGACCAATAACAAAGCCTAATGGAAACCTGTTGTAAGTAATTTTTAGCCATGTGTCTCCAGTATTTTGTGGGTAAGGCTTCTGAACGACCCCTACAAGTGGTGACATCATGACCACATCCTTTTGCCTCATTGACGCTGCGAGTCCCAGCTTGGGTCCCTTGCGGCCAGGCTCCCAGAAGCCACAGCACCCTCGCCACACATGTGCTGCAGCTGGACCACCGTTGCCTACTCTGAACAGACTGGGGCTGCTCTGGGATCTGTGGTCACAGTGCTAGATGTACATGTATATATCTGCACACAGCCATGGAAAAAGACTGTATAGAGATCAGTAGGCAGAGTTTATTTGATGCAAACATATCATCAGGCTCTCAGTGCAAACCAATGTTGTATGCAAATCCACTCCCTCGATGGAAAGAGGTATAATTAATGATGTCAGTTCATAAAAAGAGAGGATGGGTTCGTAGCCATATTTATGCTTTAATTAAAGACATGCCTTATTATAGGAGGAAGATGTATGCTCTATGTGTTTTTCTTTCTTTCTTTTTCTTTCTCTCCCTCCTTCCTCCTTGTTCTTCTTCTTGATTATCACTCGTTTCATAGTGAAAATGGTTCTCTGTGATTTCTCCTGCCAGAACCCCACACGCTGACATGGAGGGCTTTCTTCGTAGCAGCTTTTTACTGAGGTTAGTTTCATTTCCGTTGTTGCCATTTAGGATCATAGGTCGGGCAGGGGTGGTAGCGGGCTAACAAGGGTTAAGCTTAATGACACATTGTTAGCTTTAGACTTTGTCCTGTGTGTGTGTGCACATGTTTGTGTGTGCGTGCACATGTGTCTGTATATTTGAACGATGTCACCCATGGATTCTGACATATTTACCAAGCTGTGTGTTATGATTGTGTTTTTGTATTGTGTGGCTGACTGGCATGCTCACTCTGATAGCCTCCAGTCAGACTGAAAGCACACATCAACAGCCTAAGGGACACATGTAGATGAGCTGTTCCCCCTTTTTTTTCCCCTTCCTCTCCCTTTCACAGCTTAAAGGACGTACAGATCAGACTTTCTGTGTCTTTACACTGCATGCTTTTGTCTGACCACTCTCCCCATCTGCCCTCCCCTACTAACCACCCTAATCAGGGATGTTGGGGTGAGGCTGGCATATCTGTTTTGTGATGCACTGTTGTTTCCTGTTGTGTTCCGTGTTTGTATTCAACCTACCATAAAGATTTACATTTTTTGTCTTTACCCTTCCTGTGATTCTAATTAAAAATGTGTGCTGTCATTACACACAGAGGAAGTAAATAAGAGAGTGTATTTACCATTGGCTCCTTTCCTAGTCAACCACCTTCTCTAGGCTCCAGTGTTGCTCCCTAATTAGGGTTGGCTCATTAGAAGCCACAGCAGCAGCATCTGCCTTTCAAAGCTGCTGTCAGCCAAACTTTACTAAAGCTAATGAATCCTCTTTGATTTCTTTTTCAAAAGGTCACTTATTTGATTAAATTAACAGCATTTTTTTCCCTCAGAACTGTTGGGGGTATTTTAAAAAGAAAGGACAATTTGATACCATTACTCTCGCTAGTCAAAATGTCCTTCAGGAATTCAATAGGAAAATCTCCCATGCATTTAAGTTTATTTTATTTATATTTAGAATTAAATCATTTAAAATCATACTAAAAATAAGACTGAGTCCCACATTTATATAACTATAGCTATGATTTGATTCTATTACATTTAACAAATTGAAATTTATCCCTTACATATAAATTACATATACTTACTATTTTATTCATACATATGTGATATACTTACTGTTTGCTGCAGTAAACAAATAAAATAAATGTAGAGTAGCTGTTTTATCATTCCTGGCATGGCACCAATCTATTTGGTGTGGTATATCTGCTTTGGTTTGACAGAAATTATTCAGGCATACAGCATGTTAAATTTTTGAGAGCGCACTGCCTATGCTCATTTCCGCTTTTTTTTTGGAGTAACAGTTCAAAGTGGATGGCAGCGTTTAACTCAGCACCTGTCGAAACCAGTTAGGTGGATAACTAACTGTACTAAAGATGTACTGTGTGTTGCAGTGGGGTGGTGTAGTGAAGAGGTTTGGAAGAAGAAAATATCAAATTCACCAAGACATCCAATCCCACAAGAAAAGAAAAACAGATATATGACCTTTGACCTTTTTTTTTTTTTCAACAATTTCCTTTTGTTCTCATAGCTGCGAGAAGACACAGTGATTATTCTAAGTAAACACATTATTGCACTGCTAATCCACATCCTTCTGTCAATGTCTGTTTTAATTAAAGAAGAAGAGCCAGTAGACAGATATCACGCACACAGGCTGGAGATTGGAGGCCTCAACAATCAGGCCAAGATTAAAGGCAGGCTTTGCTTCAGGGTTAGCCCTTTTGCTTGGATAAGACTTGGGTCCTGGAGTGGGCTGTGGGGTGGGGGTAGGGGTGAAAGGGGAGAAAAGGATAGAAACAGGGGTGGATGGATGCAGTAGTCAAACATTCCTCCAGTGAAGAATCCCAGTATCTTTTCCCAAGCAACTTGAATTGGGTCATAGGGGGCTTTTCTGAACATGCTCATACATTTCTGCTCCATTGTGCAGATGTTATTGAGTTTTTATACTGCATCTCATATCTCAGTAGCACACAGGATGGGCCTTTCATTATTGTAATGAGTCATGAGTTTGGTTTTGAGTCATGCAAACAGTGAGTTTTAATAGCTGTAAAAGTGCTTCCTAATGGCACCTTATACACGGCCATCCTGAAAAATACATCAAACTCTTCATATTTTACGTACGTAGTCAAAGCCTTTGTACTGTCTCATAAAAATAATGCCAGTCTATTTAAAGTTCTCAGTATTTCTAAAAGTAACACAAAAGTTCTCTGAACTACAGTATACAATGTGCACAGTGTCTTTAATAGACAATCATGCTCACGTTATTGTCAGCCACACAGTTTCTCTCTTTGTTGAAAAGATGTGTTTTCATTTTAGATCAATTTTTTATATGTTTATGGAAGACGTTTAACAGGTTTTTGTTTGCACAGTCAAAGAGACTGAGAAAACGAGAATGAGTGTGAGAGAGAAAGGGGAAGGGAGAGAATACCGAGATGTGAACAGAGGGAGAAATAAGCAGAGAGAGAGAGAGAGAGAGAGAGAAAGAGAGAGAGAGAGACAGTCTCTGTCTACTCCCAGTGGGCAGGACCTCCCCCTACATTTCTGCCATTATTTGATGTAATGAAAGGAGAAAGTGTGTAACATTGAGATTGTTAATTAATTTAGTCTAACAAGATGAAGATAAATGAAACCCACTGAAGGTTGACTAGGCTAAGGGGCCCACTTAGCATTTTCCTGCCCTCGAGCTCTGTCTCTCTCACTCCTTTACAATGGAGCACAGCTAATAGGTGCAGCACCATGTTTGTACAAACCCGCTGAGCTCTCACCCAGTAAGTTTGTGTAAAGTGTGGAACTTTTAACAAAATATTTTATCTTAAGCTGCTATTTATCATAATCTTCTCTCTGGGAAATATTCATTCCCAAATGGCTGGGCTGCATTTCTAATGCACTTAGTTTTCGAGCATAGATATGCAATTATCTAATTGAGTCATCTTGACATGTTAGATAAAGCTCAGTTGACATACATGACTAGTGAACTAAATTGACTTTTTAAACATATGTATAGAAGCACTGGTCAAATGTTAACACATTATTCTTTTGCAGACACCCTGTCGTCTTATAGATAACAAACATACCTTTTATTATCTTCTGCTAGAGATCAGTTATATTTTTTCTGAACTGGAGGGAGGTTATATAAATGGCCATTCTCTCCAGCAACTATGTGGCCCCTTCACATGAGCCTGTGTGACTCCCAGCCTTTCACCATATGAATGGTTCTTCTCTAATGCGGCTTGGGGGCTATTTGAGCGGTAAGACAGACAAAAAGCAGAAAGGACTTTTTTTTTTTTACAAAGCCAGACAGTTGTCTTCATCCAGAGCCCTTACAAGCAAATCAGTAGTCTATCGAGGTCCTTCCTCAGTGGACACTTTGTACAGGATCTTCATGGCAGCACAGACCAATCATTATGGCACCCATTCTTTGCTCCCTTAGTTCTCAAGTCATCAACAATGGGTAGTTGATTGTACAGAAAACACCAGAACAATTATGTCTTCTGTTTTGGTGGCAGGGCAGCGTTTTAAAGTGCAATCCTCGATAATGGCCTCATTATTGTTATTCTTGGAGCAGGCCTCAGGAGAAAGAAGTAGCTGCTTGCAATACGTCATTATTTCGCAAATTTCGATTAGCTCATCATGCTGTCTCCTGGCAAACAGAATCATAGCTAATTAAAAGTGAGCGAGCGGTCTTGCCTGTGACTTAAAAGGTAGCACTCGATAGGCTGTTAATATGAAAAAAGTGGTTAAAAAAAGGAGGATTAGAGCTGTTACCCTGGTAACTCCAACTTCCATCTGCGAGGGAACAATGAACTTGTGTTCCTCCACCACCTATGCTTGAAAAAACAGAAAGCGAGGAAGTGAGTGTTCTGAAAGGACAAGACCCTTTTTAACAACAAAGTGGGATCCAGGCCTAATAGGCTCTTTGGTGCGAGTTGTTAGGCGAGACCACTGGGGAATAGAGGAGCAGGAAGGTCAACGTGTAATCCTAGGACAGTGAAGGTCATCTGAGGTTTTTACAATAGCGGGTTGTTTCCTCAATCCGTCTGTCGGCCCAAGAAACAAAACCTCAAGTTTGTCCACTTTAAAGATTTTAAAGGAAAACAAGATTGACAGAAAAGGCTGCAAGTAACATATCTCCTCGTGATAAAGGGGGTAACATGCCCCACAGCCAAAATGTACACATTCCCTCAGCTGATTAAATAAACACAAACAAGATGCCAAAGACTTGGACCAATTAGACAGAGCTGTCAGAAGCTGTTGGAATTGTCTCTTGCATCTCTTTTACTAATACAGCCAATTCTGCATCGGTTTCTGGCACCTCAGCTCAGTTGGAAACAACATGAACTCTTTTTCATTTAAAACTCACTGATATTATATGTATTTTAGTTAAAGCATTGAAAATGTTGAGGTGAGAAGTGGCGATGAAAATACTGGTTGTCGTGATTTTTCATAGCATTGCCATAATATTCTTTATATTTCAATCAGTATTAAAACTAATTTCTTAAGCATTACAAGATAAAATGTTTGATGGGCTTATAGTTAAGAGCTGCTAAAGAGCTGCTACTTTGAAAAGGAATTCTCTAAAACACAGCTGAGTTATAATGATCCATGACTACGGAGGAACAGTATGTGTTTCTCTTTGAGTTTTATGTCCCTTATTACAGCTGCAGTATGTCTGCTCACATTAAGCTAATTTATGGCTGAGGCCAGCGTAACAGCAGTACAGGTTAATGAATTTGGCATTACTAATTAAATGTTATTGAGGGATGAATATGAATCCTGTGGTCGGGGAGGGACAGCAGAGAAAGGGGGAGGAGAGGAGAACGAGACAGAGGACTTTTCTGCAGTTCTTCCTTTGAGTTGCGTTCACTATGAGTAAAACATAAGAAGTGAATGTGAAGACAGCTCAGCCTTTGAGGTGAGATGAAGGACAACTTTATTTCAGTGCAATGATCCAACACAATACATTCTCTGATTAGGTGCATCTGAAAAGAAAATTGT